CACATTAGATAACATGCCGCCAGTGGAGTTTCCGGTAACTTTTTTACCAATCAGATGTGGCCATGCAGTCACATGACCAGTTTGAAACTGTGGCGGGCAGAGCGGCCCAAGCGTTTCAAAGTAGCGACACACGTAAAGAAGAAACATGAAAACATGGCAGAGCCAGTCGTCTACGCTAGAGCTGAAGAGGATGAACAGCCTTGGCCTCACATACAAAGGATGTTTCGCTTAAAAGCAGCACAAAAGAACAGCTGTGTCTGCAGTGTCTTCAGTGAGAGCCAAAACAAACCAACTTTTCAGCGTGCAACAACTCCGCTCGTGTAACCTGAGTAAGTTTTCTCTAAATATCTTTTAGCTGTGGTTAGCTGGATGTTAGTCTTATGTTACAGTAGCTGTGTCGAGCTGCGAGTCATGTTTTCGGCACTACGTTGTAGTGAGATAAGTTTGTGGGTGTTTTGTGCAGCTTCGGCTGTCCTTTTAACTGCTCGCTGGTTAGCTAGCGTGAGCTGTAAGCTAACAGCTAGCCTGGTTAATGACGCTAGAGTTCCACGCACATGCAAACAGCTCGTCTCTACTGCTTTAACTTTTAAAACAGAGGCAATACTGCGGCTGACAGGGTTTAATATGTGAAACAGCAGCTTGTTTAGTTTAAACAGTCTGCATTAAGCTGGGCAAACACTGCGATTTTTTTCAGTCGCGTTATTCCGCTCCTGCTCAAACTGTACAATTAAATCGCAGGGGTTAGAAGTTCATAGGTCACGATGCAGGTCTCACACTATACGGCCTGATGCTCTGATGCGACCTGTGCAAAGTTGTCTTTGCACAGTACAGCTGAATCAGCTGTACTGTGCAAAGACAACTTTCTGTGGTACAGATGTTACAGATAATGCACAGTGGTTACTCTTAAGAAAAAAAGGGGGCCATGCAACTGTAATCAACACAGATCACCGTCATCCGGAGGAACATCTGCAGACAGAAGGATGTGGCGTAATAACAGTCGCTGCATTTCGGATTAAACAAATGAAACTCAGACCTCAGCTATGTGTGCTTTGGCCGTCTAGTTGACTTGAATGAACACGCTCTTTGTGTGCCGATTCCTTGACATTAATGCTTTTTGAGTGTGACATTCCTCATGGTGCAGCAAGCACCGGGACTAGGAACAGAAGAAAATTAGAAAGTAAACAAAGTAAAGAATGAAAGAGGCGGACAAAGAGCAGTATGAAAAGAATGTGGATGGATGGATAAAAATGTCAAATGAGAGAGGGCAAAAGGTAAAGGGGGGGGGGATCCCCAGATTTAAGGATACATTTATAGTATATATGGTAGCGGTGTAGGAAGGACAGCTAGACAGGTTTAGCTACCTGTAGTGAACAGGTGATTTCTTACTGGTTTAGAGTAAATTATATTTTCTTTAAGGTCATAATGCTCATTTTTCTGAGCATATTTGTGCTTCAGATAAAATGTTGTACTTTAAGAAAACACTTACATATTTAGAAGCAAAAACTTGTGCGAGAACTCTTAAATATTTATTTGATATTTATTGGGAACCTGCCAAAAAGTATGTGAACATGTACTTTCAAGTTATTTTAAATAGATAATGGCCGCTTTGACCTACTTTACTCAACCAAGTAGGTAAACAGGGGGGGCAGGGTGGAGGTCAAACGCAGGGTGGAGGTCAAACGCAGGGTATACATTTTTCTGGCTGGATGAATCCACCAAATTACATTCCAGGACTGTCAGAAGTCTGTACACCGTCAGTTGTTGGTTTGTGAAGTAAATGACGAGGAGGTAACTAAGAAATCTCCCCATGGAGCCAAGAAGAGGCAGTTTCAGTTGATCCATCTCATTTGTCCTGTCCCCAGCAGGAAACCATTCCTACACCCAGATTTCTTTGGTGGGACCAGGCTGTTCTCCACAGCCATTCATCGAGCCATTTGCTGCGTAATTTGCAGTTTTCTGCACAGCGCAGCCCCTCGTTTAGAAACGAGCTTGTCGATGTGCTTTGGCTGGTCTTTCTGTGGTGACTGTTGCAAACAGTCATCTAAAACAATGAAGAAATATTGCAGTAAATGGCGTTTTACGACAGCAAGAAATAAAAGCGAGACTGTATTATGAAACGATACATTTTTTTATATTGTCATCCGATATATTTTGGCATATCGCACAGCCCTAAGCAGGAGTGGAGCACAATACCTGAAATTTTGAAGTGGATTTACTTGACATGCTTTTAAAAAAAAAAAAAAAAAAAAAAAAAGGTAAAACTTCACAAAACGCTCACAATCCTATCTGCAGTGTTGTATCGGTGTGTTAGTCTGAGCCATCGTTTCTGTCTATATCAGATACCCTGAGACAGACCAGAAACGGATGCATGATAACAGATACACGGGATTCCAGGTCAGCTGTGTGCCACGATGACAAAAAAAGGAGGACACGTCCTGCATCCGATTAGCACAACGAGCACCGGTAATCAGCTATTTGTGCATTTAAGACTTTTTTTTTTGGCAATGCCATACTGTCTAGAGCTACAAACACATTTATAAAGATGCAAGACAAATCTTACATCATATGCACGTAATGTAAAAAGAGGAATCTGACCTTCATCATATCTTTGTTTGGACACACTCCCTGGTAATGCACTGGGCACGCCCTCGTAAAGGCCTTCACCCACAAAGTCTGTGTAGAAAAGCATAAAAGACATGACAGCCATCCAGCTGCAGAGCTGAGCCACGCACAGCTGCCTCATCACCCGTGGAACGTGGCAGTAGCTCCTGTAAATGGCCGGCGTCATGGACCAGCATGTCCTCAGTAAGCACATCAGGGGTCCAGACTTGAGGAGCCTCAGCTTGCACTTCAGCAGGTAGCAGCACGTGCGTGGCACGCCACACCGGCCGGCCTCCATCACACTGGTCCCCGGCTCCAGTAGAGATCCCGACTCTCCCGCGCCGCTGTTGGCACAAGAGGGTTCCTCGGACACCTTCATGGTGATTAGCACACTGGAGATGAAGATGAGGATGAGGAGGGAAAAGAGGCACTCTGCTTGGCCTCCCAAGTAGACAGAGAGGAGGCCGTGACTCCAGTCCAGCGCAGGTAGCAAATAACCCACACAGCCTCCCAAGCTCACCATGAAGGAGAACATGGCAAAGGCTTGGCTGCAATCCTCCTCATCCCGATACAAATCTGACAGCAGAGCCTCCAGCGGTGTGAAGCAAACTTGTCCACAGAAGTCAAGGAGCCCAACACCAAGGATCAGGAAGCCCACCTGGAACACAGAGGAAACGCAAGGTTATATGGAGGACACAGTCTTCAAACGAATAAACTCTCGGGAAGAATTTACCCTTTGTCTGAAAAACTCAAATTCAAACAAACATTTCACACACCTGGAGCGTGTGGCCACCCCAAGCAACGCGGGCTGCCAGGACGTCAGCGTGAGGAATAATGAAAAGCGCCAGAAGGACTCCCATCGACAACAGCCAGATGAAAGGTCGCCTCCTGCCGTAACTGCTGTTGCACTGGTCACTGGCTGAGCCGATCAGGGGGATGAACAACAGGCCAAGCACTGGCCCGATGCCTGCAGGTACAACCAGGCAAACACAGAAGTCAGAGATCATACTAACAAACCATAAGATGCAAAGACAAAGCATAAAGAAACACAGACAATGTTGGGGAAAACATGTATTCACAGATGTCGATGTGGCGGAAAAATCAAAACCAATCCCTATCAACTCAAACATGTCTTTGCCACAAACACCAGTATGGTTAAAAGATACTAGAACTGGTCGAGTGGAGCCTGATTTTTACTGGTTGCCTTCGATTCTTTGTTATCGACCTCAGGGGTGAACTGCATGCGTCTCTGCCATCATTAATGACTGCTGAGGTGACGGTTCCTACAGATGGCTCGCTGCCTGAAGGTAGCAGTCATCCTTCACACGTGGCTGGGTCTGGCTAATTAGAACACACCATGAGACGCTGGTCCACACAAGATCTAATGTGATGAGATCTCGGGGCTAGATTTTGACATTTAAGAAGGTGCCCCGTGAAGTACTCTTACATCATTTCTCATCAAAAGGAATTCGTGCGTGCCCAGTGGCCACGCTGTCCTTCATTTAAGTTTTTACAGAACGCACGAAAAATAAAAATACACAGAAGCCTGTTAATCATGAACGCTGTTCTGCAGCACCTCTAACGTGACACGTGTGTGTTAGAGTCCGGCGTAAAAGTAAAGCAGCAAATATGGGGAAGAAACTTAAGGTCAGAAAGACCCGAAAAGATCAATTCTACCACCAAAGAAACAGGTCATCGCTCTCGTTCCTCCAAACTGATCCAGCTTAACCGCAAGTTCCAGTTTCTGCAGAAAGCCTGAGCTCTGGTGGATCTGTGCCCTGCACATAGAGGCTGGTTGCAGATAGCGTCTAAGTTTACGCTCGTTTCAAGTCTGATTATCGGTGTTGACTTGGTCCCCATTAAGCCCATCCCCAACGTAAAGGCCATCGCCCACTGAGAAATGCAGACAGGCTCTCAGAAAGGAGCCTCAGACTTGGAAAGTGGATGCTGTGTTAAACGACAGAGCCCCAAACGTGGGAACACTTTTCCCAAGTTCGTCTGACTCTAATGGCTCTGAAGTCGGCCTGTGAGTTTCTTACCAACGGTGGCACCTTTGTCTCCAAAGAGACTAACGTTCAACAAGTAGTACAACATGGACACACAAGCAAGATCAATTTGCACTCTTTCTGCAGTTTGACAAGAAAGTGAAACATGAAGAGAATTCTTAAAAGCATGAACTGAAAGGAGCCACTTAAACTGGGAAATGGAGACAGGTAGAACAAATACGCTGCTGCCAGCGAGTCTACCCTCGATCACATTTCTCCCTCTGCAGCTGTGGAGGCCCCTCAAAACAATCCTTATCATCTACAGCTGGAAGTGTCACTGCATCACACATTCCCCACTCACTCTTACCTCTCCTAAACACAATGCAAGCTCCAGTTTAGAAACACGCATGTGTTCTATGAAAAATAGCCAATACAATGAATAAAAAAGCGTCACATGTGCTCAACTAAACGTACTTACGATTAAATGCTAAAAAGCAGAACGCTCTCTGCCCCAGTAAGAGAAACTAGAGAAAGAAAGTAATTACTGTTGGATGAAGCAACCACAAATGGCTATTAGATACAGCAGACAGCAGCCATCGGAGAACTTGACACTGCTGCTTGGGGAAATTAGCTATAAGCCTCCCAAGACACGATATCCATCTTCATTCAAATAACATCCCAGCACTCCATTATAATACAAGCATATAGGAATTAGGTTGAAAGCCATTTCCAGATTGGCTTACAGTGCAGCGTGTTTGAGAGCAACGCTACAATGAAATCATTTTTCTTCATATCACAAGCAGCTGTTAGAGAAGTGCAAGAGTAGGAGGGGATATTGTTTTATACAGCTGAATGGCCATTTCTGTTGTGCACTCTGAGCCTTTTGTTACGGTGGAATTATATCTATCATCAGTACAGTCACAAGGCAACGTCTCAAACAGACGCCTGCAGTGAGGACCACGGGAATGCCATTTGCACTTACAGGATAAAGCAACTATTCATATTAGCACACAGTACAAATGCTAACAGTCCAATCAGACAGGTAAAGTGAATAACAGTGATCGTCTCCTTTTCCTCAGTGGGGATGTTACTTTGTCACGTACCACCCACCGAAACGCTGTTGCAGACTAAAGGTCATGAACTCGTTTTTAGTTCGTAGTCCACATGTCGAACAATTTCAACTAAAGTGGGCCTTCCCTGTAAGCGCAGTCACCGAACCGGCATATTAATGCAAATATCCAAATAGCCAATGCCATGGCAGCAACTCGTAGTATTTAGGCATATACAGATGGTCAACATGGTATGCAGGCAACCCGCTGAAGTTCAAATCACCAAAACTGGACAACAGAAGATTGGGAAAATGTTGCCCGGTTGTATTGACTTCTGCCTGAATTTGGCGTCAACAACATTAAAGCACAGATACATGGAGCCTTGTATCAACAGTGCCGTTGGTGTAATGGTCTGAGTATTGCTGGTGACCCTGTCTACACCGACTACATCCTCTGATGGCTTCCAGCAGGATGAAGCAGCATCCCGCAAAGCTCAGACATCTCAAACTGGTTTCTTAAACACGACAACGAGTTCACTGCACTCCAATGGCCTCCACAGCCATCAGATGCCAATCCAATAGAGTATCCTTTGGGATGTAGTAACGCAGGGGATTTGGTCCATTTCAGCTTCACCACCTTTGGCTGAAGCTTCCAACGATTCAGGCTACGTCCACACTAATGCGTTTGCATTTGAAAACGCATCGTTTTCTCTCCGTTTTAGCCTCCCGTCCACGCTGAGACGGCGTTTTCGCTCAAGGAAAACGCAGCATTTTGAAAATGCATACATTTGAAAACGGTTGCAGTGTGGACAGCAAAAACAGAGACTATCAAACGATGAGGCATGTTAGTCATGTGATGCAGTCATGTGACCAATTAAACTAAGATAGTGGAGGGCATTATACAGCAGTTGTTTTGTTTGAGTTGAATATCAGTCTGCACGCGCTCCAGAGAGCTTTTCTTCAAATTCTTTAACTCTCACTCGCTTTTGCAACTTTGTACTTTTGTGTTACTCGCAGCAACGACTCCACCTCATTGTGCATCCATTTAACAAACTCGGTGCTTTTCCTCGACATTCTGCCGCGACGTTTCAAAGAGCCGGAAAGTAAATAAGCGGCAGACAGAAATGAGGCAGGTAGAATCTTCTTGTGTTTCACGCATGCACAGCACTGGAACGTCAGCGTTTTCGGCCTTTTCAATGTGGACGCACAACTCTGAAAACGACTGAAAATGCTAGTGTGGAGCGTTTTCAGACATAAACACAGTTGTCAAATCTATCCGGGCTGGTGTGGACGCAGCCTCAGACCTGTGAATAAATGTATTCATTTGAAGAACTCCTCAAAGGGTAGTGCTAACGATCTCAGGGACTGATTACCAACCGGCTGCCAATCAAGGTGAACTTGTAGCTCGTGTTCCAAGAATAAGAGAATGCTTCAAATCAAATTATCGTTAATAATAGATCCACATTAAATGTAATTTGCCTCATTATAACTTAATAATAGCATCTTGACATTCACCCAACACAGCTGAAACACCTCTGCACCCTTTTGGAAAGAACGCGTTTGTGTGAAGAGCGGTTACATCCATTACCGTCATCATCAAAGGGGAAACGCAAGCATGTCATCACTGTTTATTAGTTTGATTTCCAAATGAGTGTGAGCTGAAGAAACTGCGGGTTTGGAGAAAAGGCCTTTTGTCTACCACTCTGCACTACTGAGCAGTCGCCATCACGCCTCACACCAGAAACGGTATCGGTTATAGGCAATAAGATCATCGAACCCTACACTCGTGACAACCTATTAATTACTTTCAATGAAATCAGTCCCGGTGGGGAAATTCCTGCTCTCCATTTATACATTTTGCAGGTCCAGTGGGCATTTTGGAAACCTGTGGTGGGAAGGTCCTTACACACCGGCGTGAGCAAATAAGCCTCAAATACATACAGCACCAGAGGCAAAGCCAATTATGCTTTAGTGAATTGCAGTGTTCGTCAAGTTACTTGAAAAAAGTAATCAGTAACTAATTACGGATTACTTTTGAAAATAAGTAATCCCATTCCTTTACTAATTACTTATTTTCAAAAGTAATTAGTTACTTTTTAAAAACACGATTTACAACCTGAATAGGTGATAAAGCGATAGATCTTTAAACCCAATTCTATTTTCTACATAATCCATCATACAAAATGTAATCAAATGGAAAAGTCTTTTTTAAACTTGTTTTATTAGTTTTAATCTTTTAACTTTATGCATCAAGCAAAAATTTAATTATATGCAACATTCTCTGACTGTGAAGTAAATTTAGTTTAACATTTAAACCTATTTTCTGCACATTCCAGCACATAAAATAAAATATTTTTTGTGTTTACACTCACTCTTTCAAATAGATGCAAGTAAAACACAGCAGAAAATAAATAAAATCAAAGACTCAGCGGTCCTGTTGCTCTATTTTCACCTGTAAAGCAGGAGTGGGGAGGCGGAGTTTGCCGTGGTGCAGGTGTGCCGCGGTCAGTGGAAGATCTGGGAGTTTCTCATTCCCCTGGTAGCGCACTCGGTGCTTGCTTTCTTCCCACGCAAACGGACACTCAATGTTTTTGTCACTTTTTATGGAATCAAACTCAAAGTAAGGTCAGTACTTCCACGCTTTAAACGCTGCACGCTCATACTCTCTCTGCACTCCATATAGTGATCCATTGTTGATCTGCACACAGCTGTTGTCACGAACGTCGCACTCGCTTACGTCACTGTCATGAGACATTCTCGCAAAAAAAAAATCACGGTTTTAGTAACGCAGTAACGCAGCGTTCTACGGGAAAGTAACAGTAATCTAATTACCTTTTTTGCAATAGTAATCCCTTACTTTACTCGTTACTTGAAAAAAGTAATTGGATTACAGTAACGCATTACTTGTAACTCGTTACTGTATTTTCATGTAAGCAACAAAGTTGGGTTAATATGTTCACATTACAGTGGCTCCAAACACTGAATGAAGCAGCTCTGTGTGTCTGGAGGACGTGGCTCTTCCTCCCACAGTTCTCCTCCCTGCTGCCTGATTGCCACACTGACAAAACAGGTGAGTTGACCACTTACCTCCATAAAGACCTCAATTATGTTTTTATGACCTAAATGGAAGATGGCTGCCCCGACGCGTACTCGCACTCCCATGCTACACCCCCCACTGTGACACACAAATTTAGCTGCCGCTGGATCACATATACAGTGCTTCTGCAAAAATGAATGCCGATAGCTTTACACTACAGCAAAACCTACGAAATTCACAAAAACCCTGCTTTTTGTCCTTTTGATCTTCCTGCAGATGCACAAAAATTATGTTTATTAGTTTGCAACGCATGAAGTGTCACAGAATCGCTGATCAGTGTTTCCTTACAGTATATCTGGGCCGAAACACCCAGGTATTATTATACAAATTATATACTATATATCATATTATTATTGGAGATAATGTGTCATTCAGAGTTAGTAGACTAGACCAGCGGTCCCCAACCCCCGGGCCACGGACCGGTACAGGCTCGTCGTTTGGTACCAGGCTGTGAAAGTTATGGTTTTCAGGGTTTTTATCGCTGCTAATAAAGTTACACAGTGAATTCGCCTTTATTATTATATTTACAACATACCACAGTTTTTGTTTTGGTCGTATAATTTTATTTTGTATTATTTATCCGCCGCACCTTAAAGGCCGGTCCATGAAAATATTGTCGGACATTGAACCGGTCCATGGCGCTAAAAAGGTTGGACCGCTGGACTCGAGCACAGTCTCCTATTCGGTCCTTGCCAACCAGCCAGGCCTAGCTCAAGGCAAAAACCGATGTTTTATACTGGTCTGTTTTTTTTGTGTGTTTGTTTGGGTTTTTTTGTCAAAGACACTCGGAAACAGGAAATGCTCATTATTAGTCACTCTGGTTCCCAGCTCTCCCGTCTAACGTATCAATTATACCATGAAACTATTATTTAAAATACATATCGTCATTGAGCCAGCCATCGAGGAGATAGACAGGACACGCAGCTGACACCTGCAGGGTGGGCGGTCCCACCTTTGCCTTTCATGTTTAACAGAAAGAGATGAAACGACGAGAGAGCATGAATACGTGTACGAGAGTGAGGCTTAAGTGCATGCAAACACCCACACCGCGAGGTGCCGAAAAGGCCTAGTAATTAGCTTACCTAGCACCATGGTCATGTACCGCTCTTCTACTCCAGCCTCCAGCAGCAGTGGAGGAACGTATGTGATCCCAGCTGCCACACAGATCTCCAGGCCACAGGTCAGGGAGTTCAGGAGAACGAGACGCCAATGAGACCTCCATCCAGGCATATTTACAGAGGCTGGGTCGCCTTTCCTTCCCTCTGGGATGGTCACTACTGGGGGCAGGGAAGGGGGGAAGGATCTGGATAGGGACAAGGGGGGGGATGAGGGGAAGCAGATGGTGCCCCGGTCGGACCCGAGGACTGTCGCAAAGGGACAGCAGCAAAGACACTTTGATGTCTCAGATGACCTGGAGGATTCATCCTCTTCTCAGCATTCTGGATCTGAAGAGCAAAAGAAAAGCTTTCAGTGCACAGCCACATCATGACCATCGTGCAGAAATTACCAGTTTAAAAGCTGAAATAAAACCTGAGCAAAACTGATTATTCACAGGATGACACCTGTAAAAGCCACAGATGTCAGTGGCTTCAGGTTACACAGGGGATTATCAGCATCCTTGTAACAGAACACAACCTCACACAAGTTGCATTATATGTTCCAAAGACACGGAAATGGCAGCAAAAGTCAAAAAGCAATGATGGATTCTCTGAGCTCTTCACCAACAGCTTCAGGGCAGCACGAACAACAACAGAGAAAGCAGATGAGTCAGCTGGAGCAACGTGGCAAACCATTTGCTATGCAAATTACTCTCTGCTGTTTTCCTTGCTCGCTTTTTTCCGCCTCGTTTTAAAATATGCCAGAGATGTAGAAAAAAAAAATGAACCATTAGCTTTTGGAAAAGTTGAATTTCTCTTTTCTTACTATCCCTCACCACGACATTTGACAGGAGCACCAGTATTAGCACCCACACCTCCCGGAGCCTACACTGGCATTATTGCATTATTAAGCTCTGATTGGAGCTTTAGTCACATATTCAGCAGATTATTGTTGAACTCAATGAGCAATAAAAGATCTTTGCTGGGCAGAAAGGATCAGGCAAGATGATCAGTCGAGTCACCTGTAACGTATACAACACGTCATCCCATCACCTAACATACCGACGACTGAGACAAATCGTCGGCACGTTACGCGTTCTGAGGCGTGAGACGGGTCAGAATGAACCTATACATGTGTTTTACATGTGACATGAAAATCAACCTAACAAATCATCATGTATGTTAAATCTGTTCACGTCCTGATCCTGAATCACTTTGGAAAACACGATGTAGTAGCGTTAAGCTTAAGCGAATGGACAGCTGGAGTCTCTGCTTGAGCGTGCCTTAGCGCCACGAGCGGCTTTCTGTTGGATTCAACTGACAACCCAGAGCGTTTCATAAGGACTTGGAATAGCACCTTTCGCATTAGCATGTGACGCCCAGGGGCGGGGCAAATCATCAGTATGTTACGCGTTGGGAATGATAATGCTCTGACTGTATATGGCAGGGGTGTCCAACTCCAGGCCTCGAGGGCCGGTGTCCCGCAGGTTTTAGATCTCACTCTGGGTCAACACACCTGAATCAGATGTTTAGTTCATTACCAGGCCTCTGGAGAACTTGAAGACATGTCAAGGAGCTAATTTACCCATTTAAATCAGCTGTGTTGGATCAAGGACAGGTCTAAAACCTGGAGGACACTGGCCATCGAGGCCTGGAGTTCCCCAACCCCGGTATATGGGCTCAGCATGCCAGACACTACTACAGGATCCAATGTGATGCCAGATAGAGGCAGACTGACAACACCGTCATCGACAGTTTGGTCAAGTTGGTGCTTTTAGGTTCAAAAGAACAACAACAACTGTATCCTTATTGATCACGTTGACAGATGACCCAAACACACGTCGAAGCATACGTTCTCCAACATGTTTTTAAAAGTTGTTTAATTCTAGTCAAATCATAACAGCCTCGTGAAACTCTCACTTTCCCAATCAAACAGCATGTATTCACTCCATATACCTGAAAGTGCTCCAATCATTCACCCGAACATGCCGATAAGGCGACCAGTCTCAGTGTTTTGAACTAAGTCTGAAAACCAAAAGCAGAATCTTACATAAAGTGAAATATCTGGAAACAGCAGAAGAGGCAGATTGATGAAAGTCCTGTAAATAGAAAACTGCCATCCATGAACATCCATGTGCAGATCGCACTGCTTCCTGGAGCAGAAAATAAACAAAAACACAACCAAGAGAAACACTGTCGTCATCATCCACCAATGAGACGGTGTGTTCTGTTAAAGCAGAGGGGCAGAGCACGAACGGTCAGAACAGCCACAACCACAAAAACAACAAGGCGCTATATTTGCATTTAGGGTGACATTTATCTGCCAATGCTGCCCATCTGTTCACGCCCAGCAAACAAAATGGATGTGATCATCTCAGACGAGACTTGGTTAAGCACAGATGGGTTCAGTCGGTATTTCAAGGACTTTCCACTTTGCTGGGTGGGAAAAACCCCAAAAAACCTCTTTAAAAAACAAACAAACAACAAAACAGCTGATAAAGACATAAAATAGTGGCCAAGCCATTTTCCCCACCAGTGGCTTTTGAATAGTATAAGGTGTTAGCTAAGAGGTCCATTTAAAATCTCTGATGCCTTTCTCGTCATTACAAATCAGGGACATTAACTGAATGCTATCAACACCACTGCAAGACTTCCTCAGGCATTCATACATTCCCATCTTTGTCATTATGACACTTTTGATATAGAGGCTCTCTGAGAATCTGAAGGACAATGCAACAGTGTTAGCAGGCCGGGCCGATCAGGCGCCCGGGTCACAGGGGGAGAGGTCCATTTCACACCAGTCAGATCTCATTCCCACCCAGCCTGGACGCACTGAAAGACACTCATCAGGGGATCAGCCTTTGCCCCTGGGCCTGTCTGGCCACTACAACCCCCTACCAACATTCTGTGTGTGTGTGTGTGTGTGTGTGTGTGTGTGTGTGTGTGTGTGTGTGTGTGTGTGTGTGTGTGTATTTCTTCCTCATCCTTCCTCTGAGGTCAGCTTTATCTTTCTAAGAGGAACCTTCTGACATCTTTATGGTTCTCGGTGTGAACGCCTTCCACCGCAGCCCCATCTGACTCTGTTAGACTGAAAAAGTGGCAAGAGTACAGAAATCTGCTTTGTTTACGTGAGAAATCGCAGCTCGTCTGGACACACTTTCCCAAATGTGCGTCAGATTACAGTGTTTTGGAAATGAAACTGTGTCACACTAAAGAAGGACTGCAAGACAGCAGTGCAGAATGACATTCATTCATGCTCCTTAACCTCCTAGGACCTGGCGTCCACCTATGTGGACATCCCATTTTGGGTTATTTAGACCAAAATACTTGATTTTGCTCTATAAGGGCCTGATATCCACTTACGAGGACATTATGCTGCTACTGTTCTATTGAAATTTTAAACGAATATCCTCATATGTGGCTCTCATTTTTCTTAGAAACAAAAATAAGGTAAAATATATATATCTGGTAATTCTTTTTTTTTACATTCGTTAGGTCCCAATCTGCCCAAATATCAAAGAGAAATTAAAAATGCTGCTGTGGAAGAGTTCAGGTCTTAGGAGGTTAAAGTCAAATATAAAAAATAGGGTCAGCTTATTGTAAATTGTAGCTCTACAGCTAACAAAGCGTTTGTGGTGCCGTTTTAAAGCAGAACGGAGCTTTCAAGCACTCAAGTCTGCATGTTAGGGAGAGGGGGGACACACACACACACACACACACACACACACACACACAGCTTACTTAATGACACCTGACTCTACAATGCATTCCAGTCATGACCTTCATCTTCACGTAGCCTCGGAGACACAAAGGCACGCTTAGGCTGTTAGACAAATGACTTTCCTGCTGCTCACCTGACAAATAACACAACCGGAGCCAGACAGGTGACGGCGAGGAGATGGAGGCTGGTTTACTGTTGTCAGCTCTCCTTTTGCTCCATTACCAATTCCTATTCAGCCTCGCCCCCTCCCAACTCACAAAAATCAGCCCTAATGACTCCGAGTGGTATTCTTAGAATACAAAACAGCCTTTGTATACATTGTGCCAGGGAGAGTAATTTAATAGAGGGAGGTATTAACTCCAGACTAAATGTTTTGATGCAGGATTCTTATAGACTGTAAGATACAGGAAGCATGTTTGGGTACGAGCGGAGGGTCTCGCAGCAGATATCAAGGTTTGTAAGAAGAGCGGAAGGAATTGTTTTGAGATGACATCACAGCCAAAAACACAGCGGAGGCCGTGGCTGCAGAAACAGCAGGAGGCTCTGGTTGGCTGCTTGGCTCACGCTGAATGGCTGCAGCACTATAGCTGCTCTGCCTCTCCGGTTCCTGGACATTAATGGACCCAATCGTCCGCACTGAGAGACAAGCAAGACCAGTCTTTATGCAGACCGCTTGTTTGGCCAGCAAACCTTTTTCTATGGCTCTCTCTGTAAAACAAGACAAAGTTAAGCTGGACCTTTACTTGGTCCTGGAAGCTGCTTAGAGAGGAGCACTGTAGAAAAATAGCAGGTGAAAAGGAAACAAACAGGTTACACCTGGAAGGTCCTCGAGGTGGGCTCCCATCAGACATGGGATCTCTACAGGAACAAGTATCAAGAGGCCAAATTAGACCCAAATTATTGGATTACCATCCCCGTTTAGGAATTCAAAACGTGCACCAAGATCAAGTAAAAAAACCAACATACTTTTACTAAACAAATGCTTCAATCTCTTCTTTACACGTCAGTTCAGATGGTTTTGCTGCTTTGCACATTAACTGGCATTTGAGCTGCTTTGGCTTCCTGATTTGCGTGACTTCAACACTCAGCACGCGAAACCAAAGCCTTTCACAGGTCCGCTAGGGTCAGAGACACGTAAAGCTCATGGCCACACAGTGAGTGCAAGGGTCCGTGCGGACATCTGCGTGCCATTTATGGATTTGGTGACGTGCATGTATGAGCTTTATGTTACGACGAACCGGCTGCACATGCGTCACAGGTGAGTACGAGGGAGCGACCGCTCATTCAGTCCTCTCCAACCGTCCACGTCTGCATCTTCCCTCAGCATGTGCATAAGCATACATTATTAAATTGTCTCCAGGGGGTAAATGAGACTCTTCTTCATCCTGGCGTTGTTCCCGCTGGTGCAGGGTCCGCTCTTCGGCAAAGGTTTCTACATTTGGTTCTGTCTGAGGCGTCCTCAGGCGATGCATTGACGGTCTTAATGTCTTCCTTGATTTTGTCCATCCACCGTTTCTTCAGTCTGCCTCGAGGCCGGCGTCCTTCTGGGTCGATCCTCATATCCGTTTTTGCTACAGAGCTCTCATCGCTTCGAATCACATGTCCGTACCACCTCAGGCTCAAGCAT